TTTTATATTAAAATATATTTTTTAAAAGAAATGCAAAATTAGCATGATTTTTTAAAAAAATGTATGTCCCTGCACATGATACCCTAGGGTGTGCCCATAGCAAGGTTTGAGTAGGGGTAGAAGGGATGTCAGTTGTCTTTTGATATTAGGGAAAGTTGAGAGGAGACGTGAGACGTTCTAACTAGCAGAACAAAGGAAATTAAGAGGAAAAACTATTCCAATCTACCTGGACTGTTCCAGTAGTCTGTATACACTACTCTAATACTGGAAAAACTATTCCAATCTACCAGGCCCACCCTGCTAAAATCCTTTGACTAACCTGTAAGGTATCTCAATTTCCTTGACACTCAGGACAATGTTCTCTTTACTATTTTAACAGCAACAAAACAGAAAATAAAGGGCAAATAACCACATATGTCTGTTGGGGTTATTCCCTTATAACTCACAGAAATATTCATTAACTGCCCACATAGTCACACAATTAAGTTACTAACCAGCGACAGATAAAAATAACATGCCTGTTAGGAGGAAAATCAGTTGCCTGGGTAAGCATGGTCTTCTTCCAGTACTTACTTCCACATGTTCAGCGTCAGGATTACGTCTGGAGGGCCCATTCAAATATGCCTGAAAGCTGTGAGAACTGCCTCCAATTCCCAAGATGTTTGACAAGAGGCTAGAAAAAGATCTAAATTGAAAACAACAAAATTCAACCAGTAACTCTGAGGAATTCACCGAGAAACTAGGGACATGGGCTCCTTAAACCCACATTTATCAATGAACTGGGTACAAAAATGCATGCCTTTGTTCTCACAGTTCCTGAAACTGCCAGAGAAGGAGGATCTTTGGTTTTCAACTGTTTGGAATCCCAGTGCCCTTGAACAAAGTGGTGAACACACTGTAACCTTTCCCCAGGAGTGAAACCAAAGCATTTCTAAATATTTTCACAAAAATGTACATAGCCATCTGCCTTAGATAAGGTGAACACTCAATACCTGAGATTCTCATCTCAGAAAAACTGTTCCCATATCAATTCTGATTAATCAAGATACTCCAACATAGAAAATTAAGCCCATCCAACACCGCAGAAAATGTTACAAGAATGGAAAAACACTATAATACTGTAAATTTATTTTTAAAATATATCTTGTAGAGCGAAATGAACTGTCCTTATCCAAATACTCACACAAGGAAACTACACATTATTTCAAGGAACTTTGAACAAATCATTTTAAATTCCTATTCTGAAATAATATTTTAATTGTTTCGTAACTATGCGGCTTTTTGAAATGATGACTATATACTATGTAAAAGGCAAAACAAAACAAACAAACCTCATTTCCCACAATGCATCTAATCATTGACAAACCAACATTCTCTATTTTCTCATATTTGCAACTGAGCAAACATAATGGAGCTCTGTAAAACCTGCAGTGTTCCTAATTAGCTTGTAATCTTTCTACCACCTAATCAGACACACCTTCACCTTCTTAAAACATTTTCCGTGTCCTAAATCCCAACATCTTGTCATGCTCCCTGCCTGCCTTCCTTAACAATGCCTGCTCTGAATCAGTAAAAAAAAAAAAAAAAAAAAAAAAAAAAAAAAAAAGGCCTTTCCAAGAATAGTATTCTGAAGATTAATTGGTAAAGATGAGAAGAAATAATTCCTAACTGCCACATAAATAGCAATTATCCACCCAAGGGAGTACATTCTTTAACTCAAACGTGCAAACCTCACATGTGCTAGGCAAGGATGAATAAATACCAGGATCCCAAACCACTACTTGAAAACAAATAAGAATGTATCCATTGAGGCCTCTGGTTATAAACAAGAACCTGACCCAAGCTACATTAGGCAGAATATGTTTTTTGGCAAGGCTGGGCCAGCTAGCGTGCTGAGCTAGCACGCTGTGGGAGAGGAGGACTCCACGGCTCAGACTGGGACTATCAGAGACACAGCACCAAGTGAAGGCAGTCCCATAACAGCCTGCTGGGGTCGCTGCTGCAAGCCACTGCTTCACCCAGTGGACAGTCACCTCCAGACCCCAACCACTGTCCGCAGGACCCTGGCCCATCACCCGAACAGGCTGTCCCCAAGAGAACCAATATCCAGAGAAAATGTCCCAGTTGACCCAATGGGCAGTGCTCAGATCTGATGTCCAGCGGTGACAAGGGAAAGTGGCAGTCCTGGCTTCAGAACCAAACACTAAACCCCACATCCTGCCTGCCACTTATAAAAAGGAAGGGAAGTGCGAGGGGAGGGGAAAGGGAAGAAGGGAAAAGAAAAAAATACCAGAAAAGGAAAAAATGGGAACAAAGTCTTTGTAAATAGGGAAGAGTGGAAGGGGTAAAGGGAGGGCAGGGAAATGGGGAAAAAATAGGAACCAAGATACATCATGTAAAGGTACAAGATGCAATTGACGATTGTAACTGTATTGTATACCTAAAATGGACCGATAAACTTAATGAAAAAAATAAAAAATAAAAACAAAAAAAAAATTTTTTAAAGGGGGACTTAGAACAAAAACAGATTAAAACTTTCTACCATTGAAGGACTTGGGAGGTAGAATTTGTAGAGTTTTAAAATACTACAAAGAGTTCAGATGAAAATTTAATGCTTATCACTCCAAACAGAAAAGAAAGGCTTACATCTCAACTGATTTAAATAATAAGGAATGAATAGCCTATTTCCTCAGTCTAGTTTTATACAGAATGATCTGATGAAAGCTATTGATTAAAATAAAGGAAATAATGTATCCTTCTATCAATTGAACTTTGATTCTATGTACTTATAAATTCATTTACCTTTCTAATTTTGCTTTCAAAAGTGATAACAAATACAATACTGCTATAAGAAGTGAGGAGAGCCTAAGACAGACTCATGTACAGAAGAACAGGCATTTAACATTACTCTAGAGAACACTGGTATGATCGAGAGCAGCAATTTCAGAATCCGATTTTAACTCATTACATAATTTTCTTCCGACACTTGAAAAACTCCAACAATGCAACAAGTTCCACAACAAAACACGGGGCTCTCCACCACTGTAGGTATTGGAGCAAAGAAAGCAGCCACTGGTAGGAACACAATCCAATAGAATGAATGTGTCCCCTCAAATTCTTCCATTGAAACCCTAATCCCAACATGATGCTTTCTGGAGATGAGGCCTTTGGAGGTTAATCAGTCAAGTGAGGTCCTTGTGAATAAAACCAGTGCCTTAAAAGAACAGGCCAGAGACATAGGTGGCTCTTCATCCACAGGGGAGACCACAGGTAAACCAGGAAGAGGGCCACCACCAAGAACTGAACCACACTGGCACCATGGTCTCAGACTTACAGCCTCAAGAACTAAGAAATAAAATCTGTGTCTGTTGTTTCAGTCCCAAGCTGGTGGTGATTTGTTACATTATCCAAACTGACTAAGGCGCATGCATGGGCACACACACACACACACACACACACACACAGCATGGGCAGCACCAGCACTGGCTAAGTGGGTAGGCTAATTGGTTTTGTCCAACCAGAGCTTTAACAAAATAAAATAATCTCTGTAGACTGTGAATGAGAACCTGAAATTAACAAGACAGAAATTTTGAATCTGGACTAAAGTAACAGCACAATTATAGAAGGAAAAGACTTGAGTTTTAGAACTTACTTAGTCTACTACTTAACTCAATCTAAAAGAGTAGTGCCAGTACCCACCAATGAATCCTGAGTTCATCTTTGGGTTCTGTTGCTGTTTTTCTCAAGGACGCTGACCCACAAAAAAGTGTCTAGCCACTGGTCAACAGGATGCAGAGGCTCTCAAGAAGAGAGCCACGAGAAGATGGGAATGATTAAATGAGAAAAGAAGGAATCTGTATTAGCTCACTTAGGCTGCCACAACAAGATACCACTGTAAGCAAAAGACATTCTGCAGAGTTCTCAAGGATGTGGTCAAGTTCAAGATCAAGGGGCTCTCAGGACTTCCTTCCCAGGAAGGCTTTCTTCATGGCTTATAAACAGAGCCTCTTCCTATTTCTAGACAGTCTTTCCTCTGTACACTCACAATCCTAGAGTCTCTTCCTCTTCTTATAAGAACACCAGTCCTACTGATTACCACCTCACCCCAGGGACCTAGTTTCACCCTAATAATCTCTAAATATGGTCATCATATTGAGGGTCAGGGCTTCGACTTACTAATTTTAGGGAGAAACAGTTCAGTTCATAACAGAACTCAATCATAAATAAATGAAACAAACACTGCCCACAAGGGAGAATTGGAAAGAGAGCAGGGGTACGAGTCAGATTATTCAACGAAGTCTGAGCATTTTTCAAAAACTACAGGATATGTCACTGGATGCTTTCTGCATTAAAGCACTGTTTCACTGAATCTTTATACACACTCTGAGGTAGCAACTTCTCCTATAACCTTTTGATGCTGTTGTTTACAAATTGGGACTAGCTCTTGCCCAGTGTCACACTGCTATAAAGGGCAGGAAAGAACCATAGTCAAACTCTGAAGCAGCCCAACCCAGTTTTTAATAGTTATTCTGGACAATAAGCAACAGAATTGGAAAAATAACTCCACTTACCAATAGAAAATCAGACAGAATACTTCCAATACTTGCCAGAAAATCAGAATACTTAAAACCACATTACAACTGTCATTTATTTTTCTTCCTGTTTAATCAGTTGTTTCCCAAAGTTGACCGTTAATCTGCATAGCAAGCCAACAAGGTAAGTATTATAGATGAGGACACAGGCTCAGAAAGCCTTCCTCAAACTAACATCTAAGGTTCACCAGATTCCAAGTGATTTCAAATGCAGATCTTTTATGTCAACTGTAACTCCTCCTGCTCTTTCCCTTGGCTCACGCTCCATAACTGGTAGACTTCACAAGAGCCTGGAGCTGAGCAGACAACCCAGGGCGGGCTAAATATAATGCAAACCCTGAATTCCAGAGGGGAGGAGAAATTTTAGTTTAGATTTTAATGTCCCCCTAAAGCTTCATGTGTTTGAAAGTTGATTGGCTCACGGAAGTGCCACACAGCGGATTCATCCATTGGTAAGTGCAGTAGCTCAATGTGCTATGAGGAGGCGGGGCCTGACTGGCGGTTGTCACTGGGGGCGGGGCGAGACCTCAACAGGCATGTTCTTGACTCGGCTCCTTTCTTCTCTCTCTGCTTCCTAGCTGTCTCGAGTTGAGCATCTTTGCCTCCACCAAACCCCTCTGCCATGCTGTTTTTTCGCCTTGGAGCCAACTGACCATGGACTAAAACTGTGAGCTAAAATAACCCCCTGGTCCTTTAAGTTATGAGTGTTACGTTTTGTGGCTAGTGATGGGAGACTGATCATGTAAGATACAAGAGGAACAAATCCTATAAAACAATATTAGGCTTTCTACCATGAAATCCTGTGGGCATCTGGCAAAAAATTAAGGCTCCTGTTGTGTAGTGGTCCCAGGAAACCTGCGGAGCTGTAAGCAAAAAGCAAATCCCCTCTCCAAGATCCTAGGTCTAATGCAGTGCAAGGGAAGCAACCAAACTCCCATTATATCATGTGTCCATAAAAGTGAAAATGCACGGGGAGAAGGGGCAGAGGAGTGGGGACCGCAGACATAATGAGTGCCACTTTAGAACCAGTGGCCAGGACACAGTGCTTTCTCACTAAAGGAAAGGAGGGGAGCCACAGTGCCAACTACAAACAGCAGGTCAAAGGGAAAGAAAAATAAGAAGTCTTTTTTCCTGACTACACGGAAATTGTTGCCATGGCACTGGGGAAACAGAGAAAGCATCATCCAAGTAGCAGAGTCTGAAGAGAATGGCAGCAGTGAGGAGAACACAAAAGACAGCAGAGGTTTCTCTGGCTGGGAGTGCCAGGCCTGCAGGGGGCAGGCAGCAAGCCAAGCTTTCCAGAGTGGCAAGCACCGGGAGGTACACAGAAGCCGAAGAGGTCAGAACTGCCCTGCAAAAGGTCTCTGCCTAATCCCTGCCTATATTCCATGTGCTTGATACTTCAAGGCACTTAACCGAGTAAGAAGAAAAATAAAAATTGAATTAATTACCTAAAAGGACACCAAGGATTCTGTATCACATTGTACTCTCTCTAGGTAGTTATTTTTGAAATGTTCCTCTTTGCCAAAAATAACAAAATTTAACTTCCATTTCAACCAGCTAACTTCCCACTCAATACGAAAATGTTGTCTTGAATGAGGTACGGCCCAGGGGTGGAAAGCTTTGCACCAGGACCAGGAGAAAGGTGTACTATAAGGTCAGGCAGGTATACAGCCTGATTTACAGCAGCAAGCTAATTAATGCTGGTCCCTTTCCATAAACAGTTCCAATATATTTTATTCCACTATCATCAATGATAGAAAGGTGAGGTAGTTCATTCTACTGTTAGATAAGTAGAATGAAAGAATTTTTAAAAAACTGTACAAAAAGTCAAAATCCAGCTGAAGGCATATACAGGTAATTCAAGAAAGAAGAAATACTAACTACAACAAAATTTATGAAAAACATTCCAATCTTAACTCATAATCAAAGAAATACAGATGGGCCAAGGATTTTTAAAGTAACACCAAGTAATATCATTGGCTTCTGGAACACAGACATTTTAACATAATCTGTTACTCAGTGTACTTATAATCTGTGTAAAAAGAAATATAATATGAATGAAAACCTTGAAATGTGTATTCTCTTCCATCAATCGTTCATGTGTCTAAGGAATTTCTTAAAAAATAATAAAGGGAGGGTCAGGTATTTAGCTCAGTGGTGACACTGCCTGCCTCAAAAGCACAAAGTCCTGAGTTCAATCCTTGGTACAAAAAAAAAAAAAAAAGAAAGAAAGAAAATAATAAAGGGATATTTTTACATCATTGTAATGAAACCTGGAAGTGAAAGCCCCATCATTCAAACAAATTATATTATCTCCATGTAATGGAAAACTTAAGTCATTAAAAATGATTGTGCTGGAAAAATATCTGCACTACATCAATAGTGCAAAGTCTTTACTTTGGAGAGAGCTCATAAAAATCATTTTTTAAAACTACCCAATAAAAAAATGAAGGCAATTCTATGATTTGAATATCTCCTAAAACATGTGGAAATTTAACTGCCACTGTGACAGAAGCAGGACCTTAAGACGTGATTAGGTCACGAAGGCAGAGCCCTCAGCAATGGTCTCAAGTATTTATTACAAGAGTGGCTCGCTGATTAAAAAGATGAGATCAGCCTGTTACACTCTGCCTTATACACACGTGCTTGCCCTCTGTCATAGCATGAGCCAGCATGAAGGACCTCAACAGATGCTGACACCTTGTTTTTGGGCTTCCCAGCCTCCAGGATCATGTGCCAAATAAACTCCTAGCATTTATAAATTACCCAGGCTGTGGGATTCTGTTACAGCAGCAAAAAATGGATGGGAAAAGTTTACAGAAAAAGTAACATAAGTGATCGGTGAACATTCAGTACATGTTCAGCCTTACTCATTATTCAATAAATACAAATCGAGGCATAATTTTTTTACCCTATCAAAAATAGCAATCCATGTGATACTGAGGCCTGGATAATGTATTTTAAAACAAGCACTCTCCTGCCCTTATGGTAGGAATGAATGCAGACATGATTAATGTTTACTAATATCAGGACTTCCTCCATCCCCAGTACTGGGAAGATACAAACCAGTCAAGGTCATGTGCCCCAGAATCTGGTGGTTGGATTCAGATCCAAGATTTTGCGTACTTTCGGTATGACACAAGGTGAACTGTTTAATGTCTCTAGATCTTAGTTTCTTCAAATATAAGAGAATATCCCTCACAGGGATATTTCGAAATATAAATATTTTAGCACAGTGCAAGGCATATATAGAATCAACAGAAATCACTGTTTTTACTGTGCAAGGTACAAATGCCTCTGGTACCGATTTTATCACTCAGTACACGTAAGTTTTAGTGTAACAATACTAATGTTTATCATTGTAAATATCTGTATTCAACCAAAATATCCATCAGTAGTAAACTGGACAGCTAAAGTAAAGTATGCCGAGATGCCCAAAAGGCTGTTGCACAGAGTGAGGCAGCTCCGTACATCCTCAGAGAGAAAGAGCTCCACATTTATTAAACTTATTTTAAAAATGTAGAAAAACTTGTAGATCCCTTTTGAGTGAGGAGATGGATGGATAAGTGAATGCTAAAACTGCAATAAAGCTTTATTTGTTTACTTGTTTGCCTGCTTATAAAGTCTAACAGTAGGATGCACAGTTAGGAAATGGGTTCTACAGCCTATCAGCTTGCCTCCTAATCTGGGCTCATTTCTTACTAGTTGTGTGGTTTGGGGAAGAAGGTGCTTAACAATTAGCCTGTTTCCTTATCTGTAGAATAAGATTAACAATATACCTAGTTCTTAGAAAGGAAGCAATACATGAATGGCATACAGTGTCCGTAAGTACCAAGTTACCTGTTTTATTACTGATCATTTTAATATGTCAACATGGGTTATGAGATAGTGCGGTTTTTTTGTTTTATTTTTTATTTATCACTACTTCAAAAGACAGTTATTCAAAGATTTATTTATGAAAATAAAGTCTACTTGTTATGAGATATGTATGAAATAGGTCAATTCAGGAAGCTATCGAAATCAGTGTATACACCACAAACTCACGTTTTTTGTTTTAGTTTTCTTTGGTACCGGGGATTGAACTTGGGTCCTTGCACTTGCAAGGCAGGCCACCGAACCACCGAGCTAAATCCCCAGCCCTACAAACTCACTTTTATTAAAGTATATTTAATGCTACTACATAAAAACATTCAATCACACTAAAATATAATTGGCTGTTTCTCTAGGAGGTAGACTCTTATATTTTTTCTTTTTGCTTAAGTCTATTTTCTGACTTTCCTAAAAGGAATATACATTTATAGAATAAAATTTTAGTTGTCATAATTTACTCGCAACCATAGAAGCTACAGAGGAAGAGGTTAAATTGAGAGACTTTCAGTGATGTAATCAGCAGTGGTCTTTAAGAACACCTGAAAAATACATACTTTCCTGAGAAACAGTAAATCACAGCAATAACAAAGAAAACAGAAATTTCTAGTCTGTAGCTGAACTTGCCTCCTTCACCCTTGGGCCAGGCTCCCACCTGACCACAAAGCAGTGTGCAGGAATTTAAGAACCAGAATTTGGCCCCAGGTAAACGCCCCAGAAACCAAAGCAGGAACACCTTGTACAGCTGAAGTTTGCTGAGGTCCAGAGAGGGGGTGGACAGGGTCGAAAGCAGCACTGCACACCCACAAGCTGCATCCCAACATTGGCCTTGGAGCTGCGCATCTTTAACAGACCCTGAGGGAACTAGCAAGGAGTAACTGAAATTGAAAATGAGCGTGCACTGCAGCTTCTCTTAAAATTTCTACCTCTGAATAAGCAAGGATTCTGATTTGAAAGTACAAAGGGAAATGGGAGGTTCTACTCAGGGAATCCTTTTGCTAAGATCTGAAAAACCTGAAAACTGACCAAGGATCAACCATACACTTCATACACATACACTTCAGGTTGCCTCTTGTCTCTCTCAACATCACTACATAACATGAAGCAAGTAAGTCTGCTGGTAGGACTGAACTAGAACTAACAAGCCAACAGGCACAATAACCTCCAGCTGGGGCCCTACTGCAAGAAGAGGGAACAAACAGGAAGTGGCAGGGGGAGGATGCTCCTGGTCTCCGGGGCTGCCAAGCTGCCCGCCACGCTGGTGTGGATCACTGCTTTACTGGGACCACTTCTGAAAGGAAGCAAACAGGTAGATAGAAGGCTGACTTTCTGGGCGTCTCCTTTCCCACCCCACTTCCCTCATCCCCGCATCTTCACTGTCTCCCAACCTCCCTGTCTTCCCTCCTATCTGCTGCCACTGCAGCAAAGCCAGCAAAGAGTCCACAAGCACAGAACTAAGCAGCGGCAAACTCAGTGTCAAAGAACGCAAGCCAGGCAGGATGTCCCTGTGCCACTGTCCTTCGGGAGTGGGCAGTAACCTCAGTCTAGCCCCTCTCCCTGCGCCGTTTCTGCCCACTTCCTGCACCACTGTGGGCCTCATTTCTCATCTGGAGGATGAGTGGCTAAGAAGTGCTTTCTGAAATTCACCTCTTGCTTTGAAATCCTGTGATTATACAACATAAGTTCATGGAACAGGAAAACCACTAGGATGCTGGCTAGAGGCAGCATAAAGTCATCTTTAATTTATCTCTCACTAAATGTCTGTTGCCAAGAAGACTTTGAGCTCAGGTTTTAATTTTTTATATTGTAATTAAAAACAGAATACTTTGCATTTAACTTTAGATTCTGCAATTCTGTCTCATCACCAGTTGCTCTTACATAAAGTCAGCTGAGTTTGTCTCAGCTACCACATTCTTATTCAGTAAGAGAAATTTTAGCATTTGGACCAATAGAATTAAAATAGTATCTTTCACTCCAAAACAGAAATTGCTGTTTTCCTATGTCCTACCCAATATATCTTTCAAGAAAAATATTCTTTACTACTAATACAGCTTTTTAGGAGAGAGGCATTTATTTTGATATTTCATAAATCATGTTCTTCAAAGCGCCAAAGAATCTACTCTTGATTCTTTAATATACCTGTAAAAAGTAGATTATAGATTCCTTTTCTTACAGAGAGAAGTGTGTTTTGTTTTTAATCTGCAATGGAAATAAACGTCCCAGGCATTGAGAAACAGATGAGTATCCTTGTGCAGAAATCAGATTTAATATTGACTGAATTAATGAAACAAGAAATATTACACTCTTCCCACCATTTTCACAGATGCAACGGAAAAGTCAAAAGTACTCTGTAACGGGTTCCCTGCCTGCAAAGCATTTACAGCCCCAGGTGGAAATCTCACGCCTATACATGATTTAAAAAAAATAAAAATAAAAGCCATGGCACCAGGGACATGCATGAAACTCCACCTCTGCCCTACAGGCACTCACCAGTTGGTGGGGAAGGCAGGAACGACCCACACTGCACTCAAGGACATGACGGCTTTCAAGGTACCTATGCAGGGAAGAAATGTGCTATATCATCTCACGGTCATTTCTCCTCAGTTCTCATTTGTCTCCTGGATGTATTATTTCTCTTATCAGTCTGGCAATCTTTAATTGGTGCATCCAGTTACAACAAGCCTGTCACAGACACCGCTCGGGTTCATTAGGTCAATGGAGATTCATCTACCTCTTGTTATCTACAGGGTATACCCAGGAAAGCATCCAGATCTCAGTTAAACTGACTTACAATCAACTTGAGTAACAACCAGTTCTTGGTAACCGTTCAAGTTCTTAAATCAAGAGTCTACTATACTTCCAAAGGCCCCTGGTGACTCACCTCCTCCAACCAGACCCACCACCACTTAGCAGCACCGTCAGCATCAGTGAACTCATCAACTGAGGAGTATCTGCACTACCAGCTTCCGGTCACCTCTCCAGGAGTCTCTTAATCCAGGCAAGTGACACTTGAGATGAACTGGAACAACACCCTCACTTACAACCTGGTTATTCATACATTAAAATGTTCCCAACAGGGCCAGGGATTTAGCTCAGTGGTGCTACCGCCTTCCTCGCAAGTGCAAAAAAAAAATCCCAACATAAAAATGCCTTCATGTCATGGTAAAAATCTTACAGCCAAGGGACAATGTCACCATATCTCAGTGTCAGAAAGCTATCAACCAGAATCACCAAAAAAATTAAATGGCATTAAGTGCATATATTAACAATATAAAAATGGGAGTGACAATACATTTTTATAAAATATATGGGGAAAAAAGAGGCTGGTACTCAGTGGTAAGAGTGTACGGCTAACACACTCAAGGCTCTGAGTTCAATCTCCAACACCACCAAAAAGACAAAAAAAAAAAAAAAAAAAAAAAAAAAAAAAGCCAGAGGAACTATTTAATTATTTGAAGGAAGAATTTTCAGTTTTGTATATGAAGTGATAATATAATTTTGTAAATGTTTTACTCTTCTTGAATTTTATTATTATTCCTTAATAATACATTTTCAAATTATTAGTTTCCAAACTATTTGAAAATATATTATCCAAATAATTACTCAGTATTATCCCATAAAACAGGCCCCAAAAGCTTTTTTTGGTTTGTTTTTTTTTGTTTTTGTTTTTTTGTTTTTTTGAGACAGGCTCTCACCTATGTAGTTGAGACTGACCTGGAACTCACTATGTAGCCTAGGTGGGTCTCAAACTCACAGCAATCGTCCTACCTCAGACTCCTGAGTGCTGGGATTATAGGCAGGCACCACCACACCCGGCTTCCCAAAGTTATTTTAAGAGTTTTTTCCCATATATTAGAATGAAATATTTCCTAAATGCCAATCAAATACTTCCTAATTAGTTTTATTTTAATGGTACTGACTTAAAATTAATATAACTATATTACAATCACCTTATCAAGCTTTGCTGTCAACAATCTACTTCATTTTATTACCCAAAATTCTATTTAAAGGCTAAGATTCAGACAGGCACAGTGACATGCACCTGTAGGACCAACTACTCAGGAGGCGGAGGCAGGAGAACTGCTTAAGCCCCGGAGATTGAGACCAACCTGGGTAATAGAGTAAAACTCCATCTCTAATAAAGACCAAGATTCCAGCTTAGTTTAAAATTCTTAATCCACAAAATATACAGTAGCATAGCAACAAGGCCTAAAGTACTCACTGGATAATAATGTAATAAAAACTCATTAATTTAGATTAATTGTAGAGGGTGATAATGAATTTAGGAGATTTATTTTTAAAAGAAAATGATAGGATGCTTTCGGAGAATAAATGAACTTGAGTTAACAGTAGAGATCTGTAGAGAATTGCATTAATGACCACATAGAAATTATTGTAATTAGAGCTTTAGTTATAAAGCATTCAGAGGCACCTGAAAATTATCCCCCTTTAGGTATTTGGTTGTTTATTTGTTTTATTTTTGTTTTCGCTGTCAAAAATTGAGCACCTACCTCATTTGAGTAGAACTGTGCCCTTATCAATTATGTCATTTAATCCCAGAACACTCCTGCAAAGTGAGTTATCATTATCCTTCTTTTTTTAATCAGAAAAAGATCCAGCAGAAATGCGCATTTGGCTCTTTCCACCTCAGTGCACATTCTCATCAAGCCCACTGAAGTAAGAACACTTGCCCTGGCACAAATCTTCAATGTCTAGAAAATATCCCACAAGTACTTCTCGATGCTGCCATATTATGTTTGTCTGGTGAGCAGGATACATTAGTAAGGCTATTTTTGAAGAGTTGGGTGTTATCACTTCTTGCTGAATGCTCCCAAAGGATTATTTAAATAGCCCAGTAGGCCCAGTCTAGCAATTTACAAACTGGGTACCATGGAAAGTATTCCTTAAAAGAGAAGACTAAAATGGGTCAGAGTAAACTAAGATCCAGGAGTAAGGAGAGGAGGACCTCGGCTAACTCTTCTGAACATCATTCAATGTGTGCTGTAGCCCCTATAAAGATGCTATCACTGAGAGAATAACGCCTGTAAAGTCCAACTTTAGGGCAAGGCCAAATGACACAATGTGAATAAAAAGTTCTTTGTACGTTATACTCATTGCCACATTATAATTTGGCAAAAACAGTTTCATTTTGTATTTTTATTTTTAAAACATCAGCAGAACTCCTGGTATTATTTATCATTTTTTAGCAGCAAAATATTTTAAAAGGTTTAGCTTAAACTTAAAAACTACCAGGGAATGAATGAGGTTATACAATGAATGAGGTATACAAGAAATTTGTTTTATTGAAAAAACAATGTGTTACCAAATAAGCTACCACTGCATGAGCTAAATGTGAGTGTACACACAAAATAAAATAAAAAAACAAGGCCCTAATCATTAACGTACTCATTCTTTCAACAAACACTGGCATAGGACCTTCCACATGCCAACCACTGGGCTAGCAGACAGAGGAATAAAAGTGAAATTAACAAAGTTCCAAAGGGGCGGGCTATCTTTAAATCCTTCCCACCTAACAGAGCCTGGTTCACAGTGAGGCACCAGGCGGTGTTACAAAAATAAATATATACATAAAGGAGTTAGGTGTGTGTAAATGACCAGAAAGAGTCCCATCACCAAAAATACAGCTTCTAAACTGACTAAGCGCTGTAAATCTCTCTGCTCCGGTCCTTCACAGAGCTGGTTAAAGGTGCTCTATGAAATTTGCTCCATTCGGCCACCATAGTAATGGGGAAGAAAGCCCAACTTGCAACTAAAACATGCCTGCCTCCCTGTTAGCACAGAAACAAAGGAGAAACAGGTGAAAAGCAGGCAGATAAATCTCTAATTTAAAAAAATACATAAAACCCTAACTGGGAAACCTGCACTTCATCAATCTAATAAACTAGGAGAGGTAGTTTCTAGGCCATTACCCTGGAGTCCACCGCAGCACGTATAAAACAGCTTACCTAATTAGCCTAATCATTGCTTCTGTTCCACAGGGTTGCAGCTGCCTAATTACTCAATTCAAAAACCTCCCCCCATGCCAAGCTCTACCACAGCTTTATTTCCAAACATGCATCTTAAGCGACTTCTCCACACACAGGTCAAAACAATCACTGACTTAGGGTGTCAAGGAGAACCCAAAATTCTGAGACATTTTTTTCCTCACAAACATAAAGGAAAGAAATAAAGATTCCAACATTCCTACCAAAATATGCAAATAGTCATTGAGAAAATAACTTTAGTTTTTGAAATACTCTTATTTATCCTTTTAGAAATCTACACCAATGGAAAAATGACCCAGAACAAAAAGCAGGTTTTTGACCCCAGAATGCAGTGCTTATTGCAAAGGGAACCCACTATTTTACATGGGGATTTCAAAGCCGAAGAACATCCAAGGCCAAGCCACGATATGACGGTCATCGTATTCTTCATCGACAGCAGCATGGGTTCTGTAGGCATTCTGGGGATGTTTTGGTGTTTTTGTATTTTTTGCAAATGCAGGGATTGAGCACAGGATCTTACACATCCTAGCTGAGTACTCTGCCACTGAGCCATGTCCTCACTGCTTTTCTTATTTTATGTTGAGACAAGGTCTCACTAAATTGTCCAGGCTAACTTCAAATTTGCAGTTCTCCTGCTTCAGCCTCCTGTGGGTAGCTGGGATTGCAGGCTTGTGCCACTATGACCTGCCTCTCTCAGACTGCCTCTCGTCAATTCCTCCTGTTTTAAAATTTTTCTCAGAAAAAATTAAAAAGCAGAGACAAAGTATTGTTTATTTAATGAGCATCTGGTGCCTTTCTGGGTTTCACTGGCTGGGCCTGGTGCTGATGTTCTAGAAGCAACATTTCTGAAGAGGTTTAGTTTGCTCTGTTATCTCTGGCAGGTGCTGCTGGGTCACTGGTCCCACTGCTTTTGGTTTTAGTTTCTTTTCATGTATGCCTCAGGATGAGCTTTTTGGTAAAGAAGAAAAAATAAAAAACAGAATAAGACCATCAGGAACTGAAGAAAACCAAAGTATCAAAGGTATACAGACAACCCGAACAAGACAAAGTTAGTTATTCGGTCTTGTTTTACTTTTATATATAGAAAAAACATCAAAGAAGAGAGGAACAAGGGCTGGAGATTTATCTCTGTGGTTCTGCCGCCTGCCTCACAAGCGCAAAGACCCGAGTTCGATCCCTGGTACCAAGGGAAAAAAAAAAGCGGAACAAAAATGTTAAGCAGGAAAAAATTGCCCATGACAATAGGTAAAATGATTTAATGAGAATAAAAGTCATTAAAGAGTGCCCGGGTCTATCAATAAATTATCTAGGTGAAGTTTCTTTACCTCCAAGGTCTAATTACATTTACTATACCCACACCCCATAGCTTCTCATCTTAAACAAATGTAAAAACCAATGATAACAAATATCCAAACAAACAGGTTTCAGTTTTTTGCTCCTTTGCACCTCCTCCTCTGGAGCCACCCTGGGAGTGGCGTTTATGATCAGTCACCCACCAGGTATGTGCAGCCTCCCTCAGTGCTGCGCTGGAGTCCGCACTGAAGGATGAGAAGCCATCTACCCTTGTTCTTAGGCTTAGGTCCAGGTGGAAGAAGCTGAGTACCACAAAACAGTACTCAACATGAGCACTAAATCACAGTCAATGGCAGCTCCATGATCTCTGTTCCTCACCCCAGAAGCCCGTGTCATTCTTCCTCTCCTTACAGCCCACCCATCATCCGATTCTGCTGATCCATACCAATGCGAGTCATCTATCTTTCCACCTGGCTCTGTCACAACTGTCACCACCCTGGCCCAAAAAACCTCCACCTCTCACCTATAAAAGCTCCTAACTGATCTCTGCTTCCTTCCTTGCCCTCTCCAATCCATTGTCCACGTTGCATCCAGAGCAACCATTAGAAGGCTAAACCACTTAAAACACTCCAAAAACTTCCCATTCTTGCACAATAAAATCCAAGCACCCGGCTTTCACTGTCAGGTCCTGAATGATCCTGCCTCAGCTTACCTTTCTGATGCCATTCCTCCATTCCTCACCCCACTGGTCTTGCTCACTTAGCTCAGTCTCTTGGCTTCTTTCAGTCATTGATATGCTCAACTCTGCCCTGTCCCAGGCCCTCATGCCTGCTATTCCTCTGGGCATATGCTTCCTCTGGCCAGCGCCACTTCATCTGCCACAGACATCTGTTGTTTCTGCCTGGCCCAGCACTTTCTTCTGGGCTCTTTACTTCTTGAAATCATCGCTCCTTTATTCTCACTCCACATGATTTGGCTTAAACTAGCAACTTCCTAGCATCCCCCACTCCAGGTCACACATGTGGACATGAGACGTAAACCTTAATGGAGACATTCCATCTCCTTGGCTACAGATATATAGATAGCTTGGGGAACAGATAATATAGATAGCTCCAACCCAGCCAGATGATGGACAGGATATCAAGTGGAAGACTTGCTGCAGCAAAACAATAAAATAAATAAGGTACTGCCACAGGCTCTGCCCCCTCTCATTCAGACCCGGAAGACAAAGCGCTCCATGAACCAGGATGAAGAAAAGACAGAGGACAAAGAGTCAAGTATCTCAACTTCCTGGCTCAGCCAACTACGAGCTGTGCGACTGTCAGTCAATTAATATTAGAGTTTGTAATGTCCTCACCTGTAAGGTATCAAAGTAGGAAAAGATCTTTTATAAGAACCATTCCATTTCAACTCTTAGATTCCACAACCTCCGTATAAGAGTAGAGCCCTATAATGGCCACAACATGGCCAGCCCTGAGAGCATCACATAAGGACTACGGAAGCTTCTTTCCATCTGACTGTGTGGGAGTGCGAGGTGCTGCCACCTTTCCAGAAAGGATTATGGACTTGGGGGGGCGAAAAATTCATACCCTTGACTAACTCTACTTCTCGGAAAATATCCTATTAGAATAATCAGAGTTACAGATAAAGTTTGGGGACAGAGAGAGAATGTGTACATGTATATAAAACAGTCATCACAGTATTTTACATAACAATGAAAAACTGGAAATATCCTATTTGCCCCAAATACAAAGCTGGTTAAATGAATTATAGAAGAGCCCTAAAATTAAAAGTAGTGTATAGCTATTAAAACTGAAACTATTTTAATGACACAGAAATATTCATCATACAGTAAAATGTTAAGCATATAAAACTTCATGTAAAACTGTACACTGTATGAACACACGCAAATACTTAGGAAAAAAATGGAAATGCCTCAGAAAGATTAAGAGATTTATCTTTCAGTAGAGGATTGTGATTTTTCTGTTTTCTTCTATTGATATATGTATATATCTCAAACTGTCTATAATTATCTGGACTGCTTTTGTAATCAGGCAAAAAGTTAAAATTTTTCATTTTAAAATGAAAATTTTCAAATTAATTATACAACCTAAGAAAAGATTGCATTTGCCCATGAATGCCTTCACCAAAATTCCTCAGTGTCCCCAGCTTTTCCCTGATCCATAATTCCTATGATGACTGCACTCACTCATGGGTAAACGAAAAAGAATGCTGCAAGGTTACATTAATATAAAGTGCTTTCAAAAAATTAATAGGTGGGTAAAGCAAAATTTTGTCTAAGAGACAGTTAAAATGTCTACATAGTCTTCTAACCCTCTTCCATTAACCCAGATAAATGTATCAGCTCAGCTAGATGACACACAAGTCCCAGGAAAATGAGATGCAGAGCTGGGCTGGGAAAAGCTGATAACCAGAACCCAAAAAAAATAGGCTACCACCAATATAAGTATTATCTAGGTCCAATCCAGTTTTCTGAAGGTCTCTTCCTAGTCTCCCTTGGAGACTGGGAAGCCAGACTGATAATGCTTTTGACTGGCACTGCTACAGATACAGTACTAAATGTCAGATTGGATTCAGAGGGCAAAATATGCAAACAAAAACATTACAGAAGTAAACCCATCTACAGGGTCATGAAAGGTTGTATTTACTCTCAGGGAGGACAAAGATCCTGACTAACAGAGATTGTACACACACACACACACACACACACACACACACACACATGCACCAGTTCTCTGGCTATCCACTGGCTATAGGTCAACTGTTACCTATAGCAAGACCTCAGCCTGCTTTAATCTCAGGAATTGGTCTAAACCACTGCCTATGCAAGGAGAGCTCTTAGGAGGTGCCAAGTCATCATCCCACAAAAACAGCTAGTGACACTTAAAAGGATTAAATTCACACACATGCAAATCAGTGTTAGCTGGTTGTGGTGGTAAATGCTGGTAATCCCAGCACTCTGAGGGGCTGAGGCAGAAGAATCACAAGTTCAAACCCAAACTGGACAATTTTGCAAGACCATGCCGCAAAATTAAAGATTAAAAAGGTTTGGGGATGTAGCTCAGTGAAAAGGCCCTGAGTTTAATCCACAATACCACCAAAAAAAGTATTTTTTTAAAAAAAACAGTGCAGTGCTAAGATAAAGCTATTATTTTAAGTATTGCTTCAACGTCAGGATTGTTAAACAAGGCATTTAAGACATTTTGTCTGAGCTCTAAACTAAAAATAAATTAAGGTTCTGAATTACACTCAATCTATATTCAAGTAATTTTTACCCATTCTTAAAATTCCTTGACTAAAATGCCATAATAATTATGTTATTAATGAATATGTACAGTGCACTGGATATTCACAAGCAATGATGTCCTCTTTTAACCATTTAATCTTCCAGAGGCCCTGTGAAACAGGTTTGACTACCATCGAACCTGTGAGCAAACTAAGGCTCAGGGAAATGAACAGATTTGCCCAACAGTGGAATTCAAACCCAAGTTGTCCAATTGCATCATGAAGCCTTAAAGCTTTTCAAGCTAGTATACAGTACAGTATTGTTAAGAGGTTTATACTCATAGAAAAGTTTCATGTCTGTGTTAGTGAGTTTTTTCTCGTTGCTGAGATGAAATTCCTGACACCCAAAGTTAAAGGCAAAAGGGTTATTTAGCTGACATGTGTAGAGGTTCCAGCCCATAATCAGCTGGCTCCAAGGCAGAGTGGCACAAGGCAGACGGGCATCACAGAGGAGAAACAGTTCATGTTGCCCATAGGGTAGCAAAAGCAGTAAGGGACCCTTAACAGCATCATCAGGTCCCTTTTAATTTATTCAGACTACTTAGTGCAGATAGCACTTACACCCTTAATCCTAGTGCTCTAGAGCCTAGCATTGCACCATGAATCACACACTCTAGATTCAGCCACCTCCAAAACAGCCCCACCTCACTCGCATGAGGCTTTGGTAGGGACATCCAAACACAAGTCATAACAGTGCCTTATCATGAACTTACTAAATACCTAATAAAGATCAAATCTCAAACTTTCAATAATTCCAAGCACCTGCTCAGTGATCAAAAAAGGTGTGACACACTAAATGAAGGCAGGTAGAAACTGTTAAGGAAAAGTTAAAATTAAAAAATAAAAAGCA